ATAAAACAATGTTCATCACTTCGTGTCCGTGAGTACTCAAAAAGCTGTGAGCTTTTTTTTTTTTTTTTTTAAAAAGCGGTAATGGAACATGTGAACAAGAGAATTGGGAGAGAGGGTTGGTTCGGATAGTGGGGCTCAATCAGAAGAAAAAGACGATGGTTGTGTTTTTTTTCCGTATTTCTGCACGCAATTGCGGCCAGATTTATCCAGGTCGGATCATAAATGCGGTCAGATACATGTTGAGATAGTGCTAGTGTGAGTTAATCCTAAAGGCGGATGCTTCCGTTTTTCTTTGGGGGGGAAGGAGGAGTAAATACCGGTAATTTTGTCTGTTTGGCTTGAAAGCAGGCGATGCCAGTCACGTATTTTTTTTTTTTTTTTTGGTTCTGCCTTATCGTTGCTGAGAGACATCTGTGATTTAAAAAAAAGAAAAAAAAAGAAAAAAAAAAAGACATCTGTGATCTTGTACAGGCATTCACGCCTTAAACAATGGGCCTGGCTCCAGTACTCTCCACATGCACAAAAGACAAAAAATCTGCTGGTGTATCTTTCCATGTTCTGGCGGAAGATTCATTCTTTTGCACATTTAGAGAGTCACTGTAGTGGGAGCGAGGCCCAGCGGTAAATTCACCCATTTAACCTCGGTAAATAATAGTGGTAACCTTTATCCACTTGATCGTAACCTTATCCACTTAACCGAATTTAACCTCAAATAATGGTGGTAACCTTATCCACTTACCCCTAAATAACGCTTAATCTTATCCACTTGACCATTACCCTTGTCCAATTGACAACGGTAAATAATGGTGGTAACCTTATCCACTTGACGGCAACCTTATATCCACTTAACTGTAGAAATAATGGTGCTAACCTTATCCACTTGATCGTAACCTTATCCACTTAACTGTAAATAATGGTGGTAACCTTATCCACTTAACCGTAAATAATGGGGGTCACCTTATATCCACTTCACCGTAAATAATGGTGGTCACCTTATATCCGCTTAAACATAAATAATGATGATGGTAACCTTATCCACTTGACCACGGTAAATAGTGGCAAGTTGGCAACCTCTTTTTTCTTTTTTTTTTGGTAAAACCACTAGTACCTTTGGGGTCCGGTTTCGAGAAGTTCTTGCCAGCTCTCGAACTTTTAGGAGACCGGGCCCGACAAGACGGGGCCCGACATAAATCTGATCGGTGGCTGTCGTTTCGTTTCGGCCTCCTGAAAGGTCGGAGGCCCAGTATTTTCAAACAGACAAAGGTACTAGTGGTTAAATGAAAAAACCACGGTTTTACAAAAAAAAAAAAAAAAAAAAAAAAAAAAAAAAACACGGTAAATCATTGCAACCTTATCCATTTGACCTCCGTAAATAGTGGTAACCTTATCCACATGATATATATATGTATATATCATCAAACAGAAAATATATATTTATAATTTTATATATATATAGTGAAACAAAAAGAACTGCCTGGTAAACCACATATATCGTCAAATAGAACTGCCTACGGTAAACCGTAGGCAGAGAGGGAGAAGAGGACAACAAACGAGGGGCTGTGACAAACTGTTTCGTCGGAGTTTCACCGACTCATCAGGAGGCTGTATATATATTTATATTTATATTTATTTAAATTATTTTCCTATATCGTGAAAAAGAGCTTGCCGCTAAACCGTATATATATAGTCAAACAGAACTGCCCGGTAAACGGGCGGCAGAGAGGAGAAGAGGACAACAAACGAGGGGCGATATATACATATATACTACGGGCTCCCGGCACGAGTGGCTTGGCTATGGCTGCCGTGCTCAGCTGCCTTCAGCAGCATCCTGCTGCAGCACCCGTGCGGACAATCCCTCTGGCCAGTGCCCTGCCTCTGCTGTGCGCTCAAGCAGTGCTCACGCAGCAGCATCTAGCCAGAATGTGTGCTGGGCTGGGGCAGACAGTTTCCTTTATGGAAAGTCACTAATGAATATTTAGTCTCCGCAAAACGACTTTAAGTGCCCTGCCTCTGCTGTGCGCTCAAGCAGCGCTCACGAAGCAGCATCCAGCCGGAATGTGTGCTGGGCTGGGCCAGACAGTTTCCTTTATGGAAAGTCACTAATGAAGATGTAGTCTCCACAAAACGACTTTAATACTCTACCACTCTCTCGCAAGAATGACACACTCCCTCGCGCCAACGCCGCAAAGCCGCTCCGTCGAATTCCACACCACCCACTAAACACACTTGCACGCCAAGAGCTGTGCAGTGCCGAACAATTATACGTGTTTCGTCCCGTTGGAGTCATCAGTGGCCAGACACGCCCAAAAATAAAAGACACGGTCACACTGCTAGTTGAATTACCAATTGAACATAACAAGGTGTAGCGCAGTCTGGTAGCGCATCTGTTTTGGGTACAGAGGGTCATAGGTTTGAATCCTGTCACCTTGCGTCAAAATTAGAGTAAATTGACATTGATGGCAGGAGGCACCTGGAGGTAACCCAATGCTCTTCCACGACCATGGTAGCCTGTATGCTGCGCCACACGCCGCCGCATCCCCGCTCAACTCCCTACAAGGGCTAATGAAGATGTAGTCTCCGCAAAAAGACTTTGTTACTCTACAACGCTCTTGCGAGAATGGCGCACTCCCTCGCGCCAGCGCCTCAAAGCCGCTCCGTCGAATTCCACACCACCCACTAAACACACTTGCATGTGAAAAACGCCACCCGCATATCAGATGG